CTGACTTGTTCAAATGCCCAAAGTCTTCTGTTCTTATTCATTGCTCTCAAAGTGCTTTTTATTTAGCAATGGTTGTGTAACATAGTCATAATGTGTTCATTTAACATTTCAATGTTTTCATTTGCATTCTGTTAAATGCTTGAAAATCAAATCACTTACCAACACATATGATATCTGGATTAAAACAGTGGAAAGATAATTTCCTTGGCAAATTTGATAAACAAAAATAAACAATATGAAATGTTTGGGGCTTTCTACATAACAGTTTAAATATTTCCACTCATTTATGTGTATATGGTTCGTCTGTATTGTAGCTTGGAGTTGGTGTATTGCATGACAGTTCATGTTAACATGTTAAAGAAAATGGTTCTGAATAATATGAAATGCCTGACATTTATTCGTTTATGTTGAATTGCCAGTATTGGCCATTATCAGCATTATCAGGGTATATACTCAAGATCTGGATATCATGGTTAATCAATGGTCTCTGGACTGACATGTAGCACTTGGTGTTAGTGATTGTTATGACAATCGAAGGAATATTCACTTGCTGTGTACACATATATTCTTGTGTAGTACAGAATCTTATTGCACCATTGTATTGTCCTGTTGAAGTTAATCGAGAGATTTCACAACAGTAACAGTATAATAAGATATTCAGCAAGTCTGAATAATCTTTAAGACTTATGCTCAGGCACACCAGAATTATGCCTGACGTCAAGAACATTCTTTCCATTTTTAGTAAAACACAAGAATGCTGGGTTAGTCTTGCTGTCCAAGCTAACAGGGCATTTGTTCCTCATGTAGCAAATGCTTTCAGAGGTGGATCCAGGGTTTTGAAAAAGGGGGATTTGGTCACTGCCTAAGTGAACAAAACCACAACATATGTAGACAGAAGTAAGTGCAAGTTGTCTGATGAAAGTGGGGTTGAGCACCCCCTGCACCTATACTCCCCCCTTTGACCCATCCTGAATCCACCATTGCTTTGTTTCGTTCCCATCACGTACCCTGCTCCAGCTGACCCCTGCTGCTGTGTATGACCTTATGCATTCATTTCTTGAGATAATACTTACCTTGGAGGAAATTGTTTCAATGAGAAATGAGTATGTTGACATATGAATATTTTGCTGAGGTCAAAGATGACGAAAACTATTATTCATTGACAGTTGGCCATGTCTCTTGTAGCAAGAATCCATGTTTAATCATACACAAAAATATTTTTTTGAAAGTACTTACAGCATGATATTTGTTTACTTGATTATAAAAATTATATGTAGTTTATATATGGTTTAAGTTAGACATCAGTGTTTTGTTGCTTGTAATTATGTGAATTTCTTCATGTTGACAATGAAGCTGTTATTTTCAACAATTTGTACAGTGGCATTTTCAATTTTACTTATATCATCTTTAACACTTTTATGAGGTAATATGTTTGAATATTACCAATAAAATGTTTCATCAAATTATGTTATTTCATAATTTTGACAGCTATGAAATTTATGTTTTTAAAACCCACATGTATGAATTTCTGTATTTGACCTGCCTGTGAGTGTTAGGCAATTTGCAGTGTCTATAAATTGGGGCCCTGGTATCTAGTCTGGTTTGAGACTCTGCGTGAAAATCTGTCTGGGGCTAATCTTGGTCTACAGTGTCATGGGGGCTGGTCTCTGAGACCAATCTGTGTCTTGGATGTAACCATGGCATTGTGTCTTGTCCTGGGTCTAGACTTTGTATAATGTCTAGTGTATCTCTAATATGTGAACTATCTCCTTTGACCAAGACTTGTGTATGGGTCTGATCTGTTTCCTGACTGTCTCTATGGCCTAGACTATTATCTAGATCTGATCTGTGTCAAGATTGTCTTAATGGCCAAGACTGGTATCTGTGTCTGTGTCTAGACTGTCTCTATGGCCTAGACTATTATCTGGATCTGATCTGTGTCAAGATTGTCTCAATGGCCAAGACTGGTATCTATGTCTGTGTCTAGACTGTCTCTATGGCCTAGACTATTATCTGGATCTGATCTGTGTCAAGATTGTCTCAATGGCCAAGACTGGTATCTGTGTCTGTGTCTAGACTGTCTCTATGGCCTAGACTGTAATCTAGATCTGATCTGTGTCAAGATTGTCTCAATGGCCAAGACTGGTATCTGTGTCTGTGTCTAGACTGTCTCTATGGCCTAGACTGTAATCTAGATCTGATCTGTGTCAAGATTGTCTCAATGGCCAAGACTGGTATCTGTGTCTGTGTCTAGACTGTCTCTATGGCCTAGACTATTATCTAGATCTGATCTGTGTCAAGATTGTCTCAATGGCCAAGACTGGTATCTGTGTCTGTGTCTAGACTGTCTCTATGGCCTAGACTATTATCTGGATCTGATCTGTGTCAAGATTGTCTCAATGGCCAAGACTGGTATCTGTGTCTGTGTCTAGACTGTCTCTATGGCCTAGACTGTAATCTAGATCTGATCTGTGTCAAGATTGTCTCAATGGCCAAGACTGGTATCTGTGTCTGTGTCTAGACTGTCTCTATGGCCTAGACTATTATCTGGATCTGATCTGTGTCAAGATTGTCTCAATGGCCAAGACTGGTATCTGTGTCTGTGTCTAGACTGTCTCTATGGCCTAGACTATTATCTGGATCTGATCTGTGTCAAGACTGTCTCTATGGCCAAGATTGGTATCTGTGTCTGTGTCTTGACTGTCGCTATTGCCTAGACTATTATGTGGATCTGATCTGTGTCAAGACTGTCTCTATAGCCTAGACTATTATCTGTGTCTAGACTATCTCTATGGCCTAGACTATTATCTGTGTCTGTGCCTAGACTGTCTCTGTGGCCTAGACTGGTATCTGTGTCTGATCTGTGTCTAGACCATCTCTATGGCCAAGACTAGTATCTGTGTCTAGACTATCTCTATGGCCTACACTGGTATCTGTGTCTGATCTGTGTCTAGACCATCTCTATGGCCAAGACTAGTATCTGTGCCTAGACTGTCTTTGTGGCCTAGACTGGTATCTGTGTCTGATCTGTGTCTAGACCATCTCTATGGCCTAGACTAGTATCAGTGTCTAGACTTTATCTATGGCCTACACTGGTATCTGTGTCTGATCTGTGTCTAGACCATCTCTATGGCCAAGACTAGTATCTGTGCCTAGACTGTCTTTGTGGCCTAGACTGGTATCTGTGTCTGATCTGTGTCTAGACCATCTCTATGGCCTAGACTAGTATCTGTGTCTAGACTATCTCTATGGCCTAGACTATTATCTGTGTCTAGACCATCTCTATGGCCTAGACTATTATCTGTGTCTAGACTATCTCTATGGCCTACACTGGTATCTGTGTCTGATCTGTGTCTAGACCATCTCTATGGCCTAGACTATTATCTGTGTCTAGACTATCTCTATGGCCTACACTGGTATCTGTGTCTGATCTGTGTCTAGACCATCTCTATGGCCTAGACTATTATCTGTGTCTAGACTATCTCTGTGGCCTAGACTGGTATATGTGTCTGATCTGTGTCTAGACCATCTCTATGGCCTAGACTATTATCTGTGTCTAGACTATCTCTATGGCCTACACTGGTATCTGTGTCTGATCTGTGTCTAGACCATCTCTATGGCCTAGACTATTATCTGTGTCTAGACTATCTCTATGGCCTACACTGGTATCTGTGTCTGATCTGTTTCTAGACCATCTCTATGGGCTAGACTGGTATCTGTGTCTGATCTGTGTCTAGACCATCTCTATGGCCTAGACTATTATCTGTGTCTAGACTATCTCTATGGCCTAGACTGGTATCTGTGTCTGATCTGTGTCTGGACCATCTCTATGGCCTAGACTGGTATCTATGTCTGATCTGTGTTTAGACCATCTCTATGGCCTAGACTGGTATCTGTGTCTGATCTTTGTCTAGGTTGCCTCCACGACCAAGACTGTTATCAAGTATATTTCAAGATACATAAACATTCAACTGGCTATAGAGTAGTTTTCAGCTCCTCTGGTTTGCAGGAACACATGTGGTCACATGTACTCCAAAGTACACTGAAGATTATTACCATACAGCACAATAATCCTGTGTAGCCAGAATTATAACCAGAAAAGAATATATTCCTTGGGTGTACCAAAATTAGCACCCCACACCCCCACCCCCAAAGGTTATTTTCTTTTCCATAAACTATCTATAACACCAAGTTGGTTGTTAGTTTACTGGAAAACACTTACATCTATATTGACAGTAAAATGTCCATCTGTACCTTTACACAGAAATACTAATATGATAATTCATCTGTACCCTTTTTTTGACAATGATATAAATGTGGAAACAAATTGAGGATGGTTTGTGCTCGGATTGCCTTCTTTCTGTAGAGGGGGCGGTCGCTCGTTACGGCGAAGACCCAGGTTCGATTCCCAACATGGGTACAATGTGTGAAGCCCATTTCTGGTGTCCCCTGCCGTGATATTGCTGGAATATTGCTAAAAACGGCGTAAAACCATACTCACTTACTCACTCTTTCAGTAGAGACCCCTGTGGGAATACTGGGACAGAAGGGCCCCCAGTACACCATACTTGTCATAGTCATGTGCATCTTCTCATTTTCCTGTAAATATATTTATTCATCTATACCTAATGTTACAGTGTGATACTAAGGCACAATCCCCTCCACTAGTGACTCACAGGGGGACCATGCTTCCTGAACTGTCTCCATTGCCAGTCCCCAGGTGTAATTATTACAATGTGAGAAACAAAGATATTCTGTAATACTGTAACTGCTAGATAAATATACATCATAAAAGGTTTGCAGACAAATGGGTTGATTTTCATCAGTCTTGCAGGAACTGCCAATCTGCCTCAGGCCTGAACCAGGGGTGTATAACATGAATGGATATATTCCCAGTTTATCACCACAGTTTAGTAGGAGCTTGGAAGACATCACAGACGTTCATGATCTCACAATTCATTACACCAGTATGCTCGAAATAAAAAATAAGCAGTACTTACTCTCCCCGTAGGCTATATCTTTCAGAAGTGGTATACCGTTAGTTTCTTTTCTCCAACATAAACGTATGCGTGAGTGATAGTGTGGGTTAATATTCACATGAACACATTTGCGCTGCCATAACATGCGTCAATTTGTGTCCAACAGCGGACACTATTGTTACAAATGACTTTTGTTGGCTGTATTAACTGTGGCTATGAAAGCTTAGGGCACCGTCTGGGTCCTCGTTTGTGGGTCGCTGAATGACTTCTGTCAGTCGGCTTGAGGGGCGTTTGTTGGGTAGTTGATCCGTGACAGGTATCGGGAGAAATGTTGTCAAGGGAAAATCACAACAATACAAAATATTCCGCGTTTGATATAAATACGACTGGGCTAAGAAGATCACCCCAGCTGTTGCGAAGGGAGGAGATAGTCGGGTCATCACCAACACAGAGTTGAAGGCGTGTTTTGATCCTACATGAGTTTTTTTCTTTAACGAATACATGATAATGAATGGGATAATATTTATACTTATTTTTGATAAGCGCACTGCTGAATTGATACCTAAATATGATTCATCTGCTCTCACACTTCCACTCAGAAGTTTCCATTCTGGGAGCACAAAGGTCACAACGTATGACAGAAACAAATAATTGCTGATACAAAACGAAATTGAATAAACATGTAAACATTGGGTAACTATTGGAATCAAACACAGCAAAGTAGGTTCTGCAAGCAAGGTTTTGCTTGGACGAGCAAGACATCAAGTTATCTATCATGATTTGTATTTATTTAAAAAATGCCCCCTTGTACATGTCTTGTCAAATATACGCTGCGTCTCCAGACTCACTAACGGAGAATAGTCTATGTTTATTGAAAGTATGTTTCTATTGAAGATCTATCGTCTGATATTATCAATTTCTTAAGAGAAGAAGGTTGGTCGGGTAGCCTCTATAATGGTTAAAGCGTTCGTGTGTCACAACGAAAGCCCAAGTTTGATTCCCCGCATGGGTACAATGTATGAAGTCCATTTCTGGAGTCATCTGTCGTGATATTGTAGGAATAGTGATAGAAATGGCATGAAACTATACTCACTCTTATTCACTTTATTCAAATAATGAAATTACTTATGTGGAGTTGGCTAATACTGGCACGCAACTGCTGCATTATTACAACGCGGACAAACTGCTGTTTGCTGCTTTGGCTACATTTAAGATTGCAAGGAAACTATAATTCAAATAATCGGGTAGCCTAGTGGTTAAAGCGTTCGCTCGATTCCCGACACTGGTACAATGTATGAAGCCCATTTTTCTGGTGTCCCCCGCCGTAATATTGCTGGAATATTGCTAAAAGCGGTGTAAAACCATACTCACTCACTAACTTTATTGGATCTGGTGGTCATAATGTGTGTCACCGTATACTGAGGGTGTTTTTCGTTGTTCAAACAGTCGACCATTGGTTTATTACCCCTGATTCGGGGGTTTCACTTCGCCTTGATATACGTTCAGCTGAAATATTGCTTACTGCGGTAAAGCAAGAACTCAAACTTTACCTTGTAGCGATGATAACCCACAGGGGGTGTTCTGGCACTCTTTTGAACACAGAAAGATAGGTCGAAATCAACATACATGTACGTGTCCGCTGATGATAAATATCCTTTTGAGAAAGACCAACATCCCAACACACCCCACTTGTCAAATCACTGTGTCCGTTACCCTGCTTAGTATAAGTGATTATTTGTGGTTTGGGTTTAAGGCGATTAAACTTGGGAGCGGTGACCTTTTGCATAGTTATTATGTACTTAGCGCAGTGATCAAAGAGAAAGACCATGATTCGGCCATGACCTGCTATGTCCAGTTCGTCATCAATGACAACCCAGCGATGCTCACACTCTCAACCACTCGTTCAAGGTACGATTGGGCCTACCAGGGGCGTAGCTTAGGGGAGTGAAAATGAAAGCAAACATGTTACAGTATATATTTTTTATATTTAAAACTTACAACGCTTGTCAATCCGACCGAACACAATATGTCTAAAACAGATATCACAAACCTATCCCAACCACGTTCTGGACATAACAGGGGAACGAGTGGCCCAGTCGTCTGAGGCGCCGCGATTCGTTGTGCAGGGTTGCGTCCCTTGGGCACGCAAGAAACCTATGATTGTGGGCTCGAATCCCGGTTCGCCCCGATTATATTTCTAGGTATGACAACACGCCTGTGCTCGTGGTTTCACGAAAGAGGTACACTTCTGAGACTTACATCACTTCGGGCTTTCTTCTCTCTGTAAGCTGAAAAACAATGGTAAAACAGTGGTGAACGTCCGAGACCTGCATCACTTCGGGCTTTCCTCCCACGTTAAGCTGACATGCCGCGATATAACTGGAATACTGTTAAAGGCGGCGTTAAACCCAGCTCACTCCCTCTGGACATAACATAGTGTAAGTGTAGAACAGTTTCCTTCTTGTGATCAAAACCCAGATATTCCAAAGAAACAATGCAACAAGCAAACAGAACAATGTCAAACCAGCTCATCAAGGACAATTTTCACACTGGTAGCCGGGTCACCCTGTTAACTGACCAGAGATCGTGCAACTATCCATGTAAGTATCTGTGAACGATCGAGCAATAAGTCAGGAACCACGCATTAGGTGTGTTATTTAGTATGCTTATTGGCGTTTTATATAAGTAATCTTTGTAATAATTAAAATGTTAAGTCGCTGAATTAACTTAATATCAACTCGGTCAACAAACGTTAGTGTCTTTTTGTCCATAGAATTTTGGATTAAATGTAATTTGTTGTCAGGATAAAACGCCCGTAAAATATATAAAACGGAGCTCCGAACACTGTCTACTACACTGCTTCGTCGATTGAAAGGTATATGTCGATGTTTGGAGTTGACAAAACTTCAGCTTCACGTATTCCACCACTCTCCAAACCAGAGTTCCATGCGGCTAGAATAGTACCTCTGCATATGTTTAATTTTAGTGGCTATTTTTTTACGAGTCTACACATTTCGATAAACATACGTCATCGAATGGTTAACTTTCATTGAGAAAAACCCTAAAACGTGAAAAGTATTTCCATTTGCGTAGTTATCCTTTGTTTAATTTGGTTTAATGTTCCTGTCATGGAAGCCATACGGAGAGCTAGCGATACGGCTACTTTTATGTACAAGTAAACTTTGATCCAGAGGATCAACATGGAACAAAGAAATCTTTGTTGTGTGGTGGTTTGTTACAGTTGTGTACGGGGGCGCGGGTGGCCCAGTCGCCTGAGGCGATGCAATTCGCTAAGCAGAGTTGTGTCCCTTGGGCACACCAGAAACGCATGATCGTGTGTTCGAATCCCGGTTCGGACCGATTATGTTTTTAGGTTTGTCAGCGCCATACCCGTGTTCAGTGGTTTCACCAAAGTGGTAAACGTCTAGGACCTGTATCACTTCGGCCTTTCCTCCAACATCAAGCTGACAAGCCGTGACATAAGTGGAATACTATTCAAGGCGGCGTTAAACCCAACTCACTCACTCATCACTCTTGTGTACGTTTCCGGTTGGTTTGCTTGGTTTGTGTTTTGATAACTTCCGGTTTAGTTTTATGTATGTTCAGAAGAATGTTTCTCTGTTCCACCCAACATCATGAATATATCATGCAAACGTATTGTTTTAGGAAAATAATTACAAACTACAGACCAACCTGTTCATTGCCGATGTATCCAGAAGCAAAGAACACACACGGGTGGATAATCTCTCCCGATGTTAATAAAACTGTCCAAGCAATAAACCATGTAGAATCGTAAACCACCGCATGGAACATGCAGTGAATTAATTACTTGAAACAATACTGTGCTCAACTTCGCACACTAAGCAAGCGCCATACGAAAACAAATAATTACACATAATTTAACAAAGTCATACTTAGCCTGGTATTTAATCGTGTTGAACATTGGGGCGGTCAGGTAGCCTAGTGGTTAAAGCGTTCCCTCGTCACGCAGAAGACCCGGGTTCGATTCCCGACATGGGTACAATGTGTGAAGCCCATTTCTGGTGTCCCCCGCCGTGATATTGCTGGAATATTGCTAAAAGCGGCTCCCGCGTCCTGAATCAGGACCATTTTTTTTTTATTATAGGGCTTTCGTTGGGATATTAGATCAGGAGGTATGGGTGGGGGAAAAATAGAGTAGAGATTGAATAGGTTTGTTTTGGAGACGTTTTACTTTCGCGAGTTAAGTTAGAGGGATGGTTGAAAGAACAAGTTTAAGAAATAAGGTTGAATTTGGTTACGTAGGTAGGGAAGGAGGAAAATTACGTAGGTTATATTTAAGTGGAGAAGGATTTTGCCCCTGTTTTTTTTGTTTGTTAAATAAACTTTTAATCAAACTTCTTTCTTTGTGTCTTATCTATAATTATAATTGGTAACCCGGTCAGGAGCCTCCTAGAACATAAAGACATAAGAATACTGAATATGGAGAAGAGAACACAACGCAAAGCACCACAGTAAAACATCAGACCTTTTGTCAACTATTTTTATAGTTCTACTGTCACTGGGCTCCTTTTACAGGCTTTAGGGGGCGCCTATTACAAAATCATACTCACTCGTGTTGAACAATAAGTTGCAATATAGCAATAAATAGCCCTGTGAAGGGAGAAAGATTGAGTGCGCGTTGCATGCTTGACCTGAATTCCTCCCTGGCTGCCTGAATAATATACAATACATTGCAAAGGCAGCGCGCAATAGAGCTATTAATGGTAAGGGAGATAATCACTCACTCTCCAAACCCGCGGCAGCTTACAGCTTGAATAAGATACGATGTACAGCATTTGCAGGGTCAGTGCGTGATAAAGCTAAAGGAGATAATCGCTCAAAACGTGATGTTTATTCTTACAAAATATAGACCTGTTAACTTTGGCGACAGGATATATATTTCCCTAAACATTTTAAGCTTTCTTGAAAACAAAATCAACAAATTGCCTTGATTAACTCAAAGACGTATATAGATATTGTATATATACGTCTTTGATTATTGTATATATGTCTTTGACTACATTTCGAAACATGACCAAGTCACATAATATGACAGGCGATTGCTTAAAACATGTTCATTTCACAGCTTTTGAGAAACCAAAATGGCACTCTCCTTAAATAAAAAACAAACTCTAACCTGTAAACTTCCCCGCCTTTAGGGCGTGGAAGAGTAGGGGGGTACAGCCTGGCGCCGTGCAATCAAGATACATTGTCAGGCACCTAACTGTCGCAGCTGCAGTAGCATATCTACATAATTATGCTAAACAATATGCAAAGCAATATTCCGAAAGGCTTGCATAAGACCATTCTGTTCTGATTTCAGAATAAGCGCATATGTTTACTTAAAAGAGAAAAGTCGACCACCTAACGTGGCCGGAGACTGCCGTGTGATATAGACCGGTCCCCTACCTCTGTTGCGCACGCTACACAGACACGAGGGCAGTCCTGTGCGCGGCAGAGATTTTGTAAACAAACATCATCTTCACCCATCTGCAGTATGTAGCCTATTCCTAGGATGGATGTGAACCCATTTCGTGCATGTTGATAAGGGTCGCATTGCAGAAGTGGAGCCGTGTCTTAAATCTCGAGCAAGAAGGCCGACCCCCTCTCAACACGTCACAAGGCCATGGCAGTCTTTCTAGCAGACCATAAACTTCCAGAGCTGAGGGACCGAATTCAACACAAGCCAAGATATTTCAAGGTGACACTTTCACTGTGCTTAACATTTTACGTAACTGTCATGCTGTGATGACGATGGAATAAGGGACAGGACCCCACCCCATCCCCAACCCCCATCCCCCATCCCCCACCCACACACCGGGTTTGTTGACTGTTATCTTTTATGTGCAAAGGAGCTAGGGATCCTAGACGATTGCGTAATGCTGCCTTCTGATGAATAAAGAGAAAACCACCAGTAGATCTACTATTGAGATAAGGTTTAATTTTAATACATTTATCAAAATATTCCCGTGTAGCCCGTTCGGGGATCTCGCTTTACCGAGAGTGTTACGAAGGTGTTCACGCTGGGAAGGAGCTTGTGTTGGTTGAATGAAAGGGGGGTAACTCTTGTATCTGTTTTTGTTAGCTTATTCACTCACGTGCACAAAAAGACAATGACAGATTTAAGAGTACTGAAATAATGCAGTTTATTTTTTCATTAAATATGTTTTCACTTCAATACACAATACGAATTTTTTTGAATAATGATAAAGTATTGTTTTAAGAATATGAAAATTACCAAACTCTGCTCCAAGCCAGTCCATTGTCCACCACTGTATGGAGCTCAGTGGCGTCTGCTACACAAAAATATATTTCCTTACAAATATTAATGATTGCCTTGGTCTTCATTACACAGTAGCCTCAGAAGAATAGTATTAAGAGTTATTCTTCCTCTCCTTTAAGGCTGGGTTAGGGTTAGTTTGTTTTTGACTGAAGGAGAGCGGCATTTGGTTTCTCTTAAAAATTTGGAGTTTTTAAAATGAAATGAGAGTGACTTAATCTGAACATGTTTTAACCAATCGCCAGTCACATTCTGTGACTTAGTCCTGTTTCGTAATATCGATAATCCTTGCAATTTGTTCATTTTGGCGGATCTAACTGCAATTCTTGTCTTTTTTACTGAGCCCGGGTTGGGCCATGGTCTTGACATTCCAGTAAGCAAGTGAGCAATGAATTCAGGCTGATTGCAAGATGGGCCTACCTTGTCATAGTGCTTTTTGTGAGGCGTGAGATGGCTGCTTCAACTTTCCCTTCATTTAAGTAGAGTGTTGCTTTGGGTTGAATTTTGGATAGCCACCTCCTGATTTGCTTGCTTGAGCTAGCTTTGCCAGTGTGTCTGCTTTTTCACTTTGTGCGACCAGTGTTGACACTTTTTGTTTGTACCTGCACAAAGTGATACCCAGCATTTCATTTCCGTTTCATCTTATTCTTAAAGCCTTAATATTTACACATAAACTTTTTTTTGCATGCAATCTTCCTGTTTTATTACAGTGGTATTTATCAACTGCTTTTATTTTCCAGATTGTTTCCATGATGTTTTTCTTTCGTACCAACTTGGAGATATGTATCATACAATACACAAAGGTTAAACTACATTAACAAGTTTAAAAAATATGTACTTTTTTCATCCAATGTAAGCCATAAGAATAAATCAGCCTGCAATAATAAGTTGAGCTGACGTGAATGATCAATCAGCGCAAATGGCAGCCATTACAGCCGGGTCTGGAGAGGATGTGGATCCAAACACCTTCCTGAAGCAAGGGAGTTAGGTGACTCTAAAAGTCCAGTTTCCACCCCTGCTGAACTAGGCTAGAATTCTGGCTATTACAAGTTATGTCCCTTCTGGACAATGCATAGACACGTTAGTCAGGCCAAATTACAACTCCATAATTGCAGTTTTTGACCCGGGAAATCCATTGTGCCATACTTGACACTGTCAAATGTAAATCATTTGTGTGCCAGGTATTTGGCCATCCTGTCAGAATGCCAGTATGCACGTGCAAGTATCATGATACGTATCGGATCTCGAGAAAGGTATCATGATCGCACAGCACTAGTAACAATGGATGTTGTTTTACCAGGCTAATGTTTATTTACACGACTCCAGGTAATACAATGCAAGTGTGTGGTATTATTTCAGATATACAATGAAGTGATAACAAAGTTGGACTCAGTGGTCACAGGGTTTGATTTTGTTGTGGACAAATGGCCAGACTTCAAGGCAGTTATTACCAAACCAAATCCTGAGATTGTGGAGGTGGGTAGCAGATATTTTCTCAATTAGTGATTAGAGATATGCTGAACTAAATGCTCTGAATGTTAATAATAATACATGGTTTCATCTTTTGATGTTAATTCTGGAACATGGTTTGGAATTATTTCCTGATTAAAGGATTTTGTGAAGTACACTGCTGAACAAATGAATAAGTGGTCTGAAATGTTTAGAACGCCTGTTGTTATCACATGTGTTGTCACACTGCATCCCAGGTACAGAGTTCATTCTTGGACTTACTTCTCCAGTGTGACACATTTTAGATAAACAGACAATCACACCTGGGGGTCTTTTGATGTCATATAATTATATCAACACAAGTTAATAAATGTTTAAGACTGAGGCTTGCCAAAAGCGTTCTTCCAACTTTTTCAGTTTCTAAACAGTAATAACGAGTGCGTGGAGAGAGAGAATAGTGATGCCACTTGACTGTTACTTCATGGTAACCAGTGACATCACAATGTATGGAAAGTATTGTGATGCAGTTCATTGTAGCAGTATTTCCTAGGAGATATTACTTGATTTCACCCACTAGATATGTCCTGTGTATGTCAGTTTTGGATTATAAAATATATGCTTATTCAGTATTCTAAATTTAGCATGGGGTCCTTGTCATGACTATCATGTGAAAAGTCAAGGATTTAAAACTCAAGTCCCAATGAGAAAACCTCAAGAACCCCCCTTAATTCTTAACACTGAATTATAGTTTGAGTTTCTCAACAACATCTACAATGTGGCTGCCGAAGATGAGAAGGCCTTATCCGAACTTTTAGAACAACAAGGAGTTATCAACTGGAGTCAGGGCATTGTTTTTGCATGTAAGTTGATTGTGCATAAATGATATATAAATGTGTATAACTCAGTTGTTAACACATTTGGTCATCATGACAGGTTTGATTCCTCATATGGGTACAATGTGTGAAACCCATCTTTGGTGTACCAACTGTGAAATATTGCTTTTTTGCTGGAATATTGCTGAAAAAGAAAATAATGAAAAAAACAACATACTCAATCACTTTCTCACATAACTGGATAAGAGATAGTACTGAATGTTTTAATGATAGCCTTATGTGATAGTAAACGACTACCGGTAGTTGTGTTATTTTAATTTTGATTTTTTTAATTGTTTTATTAATAGGTCATTCCACTGCATACACTGTTTATATGAGGTAACATAATGTTATTGTCTGATGTTTATTTGCTGTTTGCTAAACATATAACCAAGTAGTACTGACAATGTTGAAAGTGTTACAATATATATTTTGATCAGACCAATGTACAACTTGTTTTACAGCTTGCCAGTGACAATACAAGCCGCAACCTCTCCTTCCACATGCCCTTCAGTAGACTTTACTCTGAACACAATGTCTGTCATGAGCTAACCGCACTTGACAGAAAAAAAGTTTACTTGACTAAGGCTTTGGACTAGTGGCTTATGTCACAGACTGGCGATTTAGCACCCTACAAATGTACATATAATTTTTATTTATCACATATACAGATGTTGATGTTTGTTTACAGGTGTGGACACTACATTTTCCAAAGTTATAAATGAAGCAATAAAATGTCACGGAGGAAGCAGTGATCCCTCAGAGCCCTGCTATATCCAGTGTGTTACACAAGAGAGTCTGAATGTCAAGTAAGTTCGTAAGACAAGGGGGACTACTCAGGTCGGAATAATAATGAAGAAATGCTACTTTCAGAAGGTTAATAGAGCATTTCAATTAATTGTTAGTTATGTGTAATAACATTGTGGAAGTACTAAGGTTACGATTCTTCGATATGATTTGCGATATGCGATGTCATGTACAGAAATGTGAAGTAGAAAGGTTATGTACATGGTTAATGACACAACAGATATGGTTGAAGTTTAAAGCCTGATTGATGTCAATATTGTAATAAATAGCATCAACAAGGCATGCTTGAGTGAAACAATACAATGATTGATATTGACAAGTTTATTTGAGTGAGTGAGTGAGTGAGTTGGGTTTAACAGTATTCCAGTTATATCACAGCGTGTCAGCTTAATGTGGGAGGATAGCCCGAATTGATGCAGGTCTTCAGACGTTTACCACTTTAGTGAAACCCACGAGCATGGGTACGGTGCTGACAAATCTAGAAACATCATTGGGGCGAACCAGGATTCAAACCCACAATCATAGGTTTCTGGTGTGCCCAAGGGATGCAACTCTCCACAGCGAATTGCAGCGCCTTAGATGGCTGGGCCACCCGTGCCCCCCCAAACTGATTGGAAGCCAGTATTAAGATGAGAAGGATATTGGAATAAATAGCATTAACAAGGCATGCTGTAGTAAAACAATACAGTGATTTATATGGACAAGTTGTTTGGAAGCCATCTTAATACCAGTTCCAATCAACTTGTTTATCACAGAATACATTGTTTTAGTTAGTGAGTGAGTAACAGTATTCCAGTTACATCACAGACTGTCAGCTTAATGGGGGATGACAACCTGCAGGTTTTAGACTTTACAACTTTGGTGAAACCCATGAGCATGGGTATGGTGCTGACAAACCTAAAACATAATCAGGGCAAACCAGGATTTGAACCCACGATCATTGAAATCTCATTGTGCCCAAGGGACCCAACTCTGCGGAGCTAATTGTGGCCCCCCAGACGATTAGGCCACCTGTGTCCCATACCTTGTTTGATCATTTCTCTTTTCTCTTTATAAATGAGGGATTAGGTGCATCATGTAGTGAATAAGATGTCACATTGTCTTCCAGGCCGGTTCCAAATGGCTTCAAGCTGTTACCCTTAACCCAAGATGATTCCAAGTTAGTTAACACCGAGTGGAAGTTTACAGGAGGAAATGAATCTCTTGCATACATCAACAAGCTCATTACATGTTTACCTTCCTGCTGTCTGTATGATCCAGATGGCATCATTGTTGGATTTGCCATGTCCTACCATTATGGGGCCCTTGGTATGCTCCATGTTATGGAGGAGCATCGTGGGAAGGGATACGCCAAAGTCATCATGTCACATCTGGCACAGAAGAGACTTCAGACTGGCAAGGAAGCATTTATTGTGATTGAGGAGAGTAATGCTGTGTCCCTCAAGGTTCATGAAGGACTTGGCTTTAAGCACGTACCCAACATGAAGGTGGTATGGATCAGATATACACCCAAAGGGACCTGCAAAGGACCCAAGTCTTGTTGTATTTGATCATAAATCTGGCAACATAATCTGAAACCAGTCACAATATCCACACAATCAGCTTGGGGAAAAGGGGAAATCATAATATTGGAGCAGAATAATACTGTTCAATAAAACTGCTTCATATCACAAATATAACATATTACTATTTTGGTGGTGAGATTGCCTAATCTGTCAGTGAGCTGAAGCCCTTACTTCTGGAAGTCATGATAAACCAATATCCTCTTTTGTGAATGCTGATGTCATATATCGTCACATCGATCAGTTCAAGGCCACTAGTCATGGCTCAAGATAAGGATTGTTCAAGTCGAACTGCTTGGTTTGAAGAAATGGGTTACAAGCACTTGTTCCAGACATTCCTGCCAAGTATATCATCTATTTTGTTTCTTCTCTGTTGGAAAAATGTAGGTCTTTCTTCTTAAAAGGGAAGTGTACACGCAAAATTCACTTTCTTTCTTTTTCTAAACAAAACGCAATTTTAGAATTAGTTAGTATCTGTGTTTGAAAATATACACTCATTTTTTTCACAGTGAAAGTAGGAAGCTCACAATAGTGTGAAAATGATATGCCATTATGAGGCCTTCGTTTTTCGAGCTAAACAGGCCTGAGTTATCCCCCTTAGCTTATGACGTAATTGGTGCCAATTCAACTGGGTCCCTGTCTATTCTCAACGCAAAAGATATCAAGTACCAGTTTGTGGTAAAACAACATGGCCTACGACACACTCCGGCGCACTGGTGACTCAGCATAACACTATGCTGGCTCGCATCTGAGATCACACACCTGTACCTACACAACGTGAAGCGGCTCTAACAAAGCATGATGACGTCATAATGTTTATCAATTGGCACCAATGATGTCATATTGCAAGGGGCATAAGCCATGGTGTTTTTGTTATGGAAATAGAACACTTGGTAAATGTGAAAAATATAAATAGTTTTAATGCGAAAAATATGTTAATTAATTGTGATATTTTTATATTTTTGTCTATGACACTTCTAGGTTAACACTTTTAATGTGGAAAAAGTACAAGAAAAATAGGTTCATTTCCGTGTGAACTTGCCCTTTAATATTGAAATAAAAGTTACAAGTCCATTGAGTCCATTGTACAATTCAGACTAAGTCAAATGCATGTATTTATGAATCACTGTCAAACAGGCTTGTGATCAACTGTTATAAAATGGGGTGTGTTCGATTGAAGGACCTTAGTCGACAGAGGGTTACCAAATTTCTGGAAACCAGGGTTGACTAGATTGAACTGGATTTTGTGTGTGTTGTTTTCCAAATTTTGTTTCCATTTCAGTAGGATGTCACATTTCCACATGTCAGGCATATTTGTTTTCTTGTACATCGTCAGGAGTAGTATGTGACTGTGAGATAGTCGGACAGAATGCATATAATTAATTGGACAGAAAAATATTCATATTTCTTAACATATGGACAAGGTATGATATTGGTTGGCGCATGAATATAAATGTGTATGTATACATACCTAGCAAATATTTTGTATTAAAGAATTTCAGTAATTGTATTGGCCATTTTTCCTCAAACTTTGCAACACAGCTGTTCTTTCTAGCAATAAAGTGCTCCACTTGAACAATATCTTGCAATGACATTGCTATCAAGTTCTCTTTTAATACACAGTCAGATAGTTCCTGAGCTTCTTCACATGCTCACAGGAAACAAGGAGGTGTTTTCTATTTTGTGCTTCATCCTCACAGAATGTAGTAATCTATTATTTTCATCTTTTCTAAATCATTTTTAGTGTATACTATATGGTGAATAGACTTGTATTGAAAATCGACCAACTTAGTAGTTTTTGTACATCTATAATCAGTGAATATAACCTTCCATGGTTGTGAAATATCTAATGTTTTCCCATTTTTTACATACTACCAGTACAGTTTACACTTTCGTAAGTGCATCATGACATATTTTGCATCTTTAGGGTGTAGTTAAGTTCAACAAACCTTATTAGTTCCTGTGTCCTGGCTACGTGGACAGTATCGACAGTCTCTCTGCAGGCTCTGGGAATATTCCTTATAACCTTTTAAAAGTCTAAGTAATTACCTTTGACATGTCTCCCCCTAAAGTCTTCAAAAGACATTTAGCCTTTAGAGTTGCAGAGATCTTAATTGTATATACACCCTTATTGAACCAGTTATTAACAAAATGTGTGTTATTGAACTGATGATTAAACAATAATGGTTCAAGTCAAATGTTTTCTGAGTCAGTTTGATCAGTTTTTAATCAAGATCTGTACCTTGTTCACGCTGCAAGGGCATCCTTCTAAAGTGACTTACTGATGGTAGTATATTTTTCTATATAAGACCCGAATATTGCAAGATTCTCAATTGGGACTTTACTAGGATTTGTGAAATTTAGATTGCAGAAATGTCTCTTCATGGTTGAAAGCTGATAACTGGTCTAACGGTGGCTGGATATATTCAGTCTGGTCAGCTTCGGATCTTGTGAAGACAATCTGGGTACAGATCTTGCAGCTAACAGCTTGCTCACGAGGAGTGTTTCAGTTAAGATAGATCCAAACTGATCCCAATTTTGTATCCGAAATGTTATGATACGTTATCCGATACCAGTGCGGTTGACAGACGTGGGATATTTAGGACGACAAGACACAGGGCCATCATCTGTGTCACCTCTGCCTCTCTTAAATACGGCAGTCACCATCAATCACGCTTTTCGTATCGTGTATTATATTTGGTTAGGTGCTCTTTTATGCGGGTACCTAATCACTGCCCGTTTCTCCATTTCCCCCCATTTTTGCGGCTTCTCTCATCCCTGCCAACTTCTTTAGTTGACTTCTCAAAAACAAATGCAGTTATCAGTCGGTGTCTTCCAAGAGAAGATATTATTCACACAAGTGTTGACATCTCACAAAACAATACCACTGAGGCCTCAAACTACGATTTACATTCGCAATGGTTTGAGCGTTAATGTTGCATTTATAATCAATGTGTTTATAATACATGTGTATAAATGATCAATGCAACTTTTGGAGGGTAAACAAGCTGTTACAGAGTCGAAACTGTTCAGTTCAAAACTAGATATGAAAATAACAAAATCAGAGTGGTCGAGAACCACCATCTTCCCGAGGTAAGAGAGTTAACTGATTTTAAAAGTCAGTTAACTCACTTGCCTCGGGAAGATGAGGACCACACGACGATGAAAGTTGTTTTACAATAAATGGAAACAAGATGCAAATGAGTAAAAGTGATACAAGAGCTGGCAATCACTGCTCTAACTTTTAACAAATATAAGATTTCTGTTCCTAGTCACAAAATCATCAACGTACAATCAATGCAACTATCATCTGCACGTGCCAGTCTAAGTGTGGACACATTGTTTACAACATTGTTTTGAGTAGCAGATGCCAATAGTCACTTGAAACAATGCGGTGTTTTACTTGTTGGTAGCCTGCGATCGGTTATCCCCTACACTGTCTTCACGGTAACTCTTATGTGGCACTTTGTTGCTAGGGGGAGATGGGGTTATTACAAAGATGTCTGTATTCCCGGAGAGTTTTTCCACCACGCTTCTTCCCATCATTCATCGCATTGATAAACTTCTCCCATTGTATAGAACTTCTTCTAATTTCCAGGTCCAAGTCCCATGTAATGTTATTTACTATTTACTAATTCAAAATATAATGTGACTTTGTAACATGCTGGCAGATAGATGGTTTTTAGTATTGGTAGACCAAAAGCCTTGACGACCGAAGATTTACCTTCTTTAGATGAAGGGCAGAGATAATTGTTTTTGTTCAAAGGGATAGCATATGTTAATAGGTCTTGCCGAACTGGGCTGGAATTATGGAGTTATATCTGGCTTAACTAGAGTCTATGCATAGTCCAATCAACATCGCGTAACGAAATCGTCATCCGGTCCGAAAACTGCCGTGCAGATTTCGGTCGCTTTGTAGAAATTTCAAAGCATGTGTACCGTCAACATATTTATTCCCATCATGTTCTAATCATGTTTTAATCAAGGTGCTTACGTGATTTGTCGCACTGCGTGAAGTAAGACCCGTTTGATTACAATAACGATCTCGATTATCGATCAGATCGTCTTGACTGGGCGCCTCCGTTTTGCAAATGTAAGTGATATGAGAGGTGGAAACCTTTCAATTGGAGGGACATAGAAGGGACATAACTCGTAATCGCCACTTGTGGCGCTACAATCGAGACCACCGATTCAAGCCAAGTTCGGCAAGGGTGGAAAGTCAGTTAACTCCCTTGCCTCGGGAACATGGGGTAACCAACGAAAGACGATGACGCATTGACCAGTAGCAAGATCATTATGGAGTTCACGTAAAAGTGGATGTTGATAGGAAACATTCTCAATGACCTGAAGACATTACAGGGAATACGAAACTATTGTGAATTGTTTATGTCTAAACTGAGTATTTATACATTTTAGAGCTGTTACCATTGCCTTGGAGTCTGCTGTAAATAATGAACTGTCGTCTGGTAATCTTGACGATATGGCTTCCAATGATTTGGTTGATGCATGTCATCGATCCCAAGTGCGTGGATCGATGTTCATAATGTCAATCACTGGAATGTCTGGATCATACTCTATTATTTACAGACCGCTGTCATATAGCTGGAATATTGCTGAGTGCAGCGTTAAACAACAAACAAACAATGACAGTGGCACTAGCAACTGCACCACCGTCCTTGGATCCGTCTGTAAATATAGCTTTGTAAGTATTATTGCTTCTTAATTCATTATATTCTTGCCGATACATTAAAAGATTTGTTTGGTTAACGTCAGATCAATCTGTGCTCATGATGACAATCACTAGATTACATGGTCCAGACTCGATTATTTACAGACCGCTGTCGAATAGCTGGAATATTGTACGGCGTTAAACAACAAGCCAATGACAGAAAAACAAGAAATGAACTGAGTGTCAACAAAAGAAGGTTCTTCTGACACCTTCGCAGGCTGAGACTTCATTAGCCATGTGTACTCGTGCACGTGGTAGAGTGCTTCTTGAACGCTAATAGTAGGAAAACAAACTGCTGAAAACAAACTTGAGACAATTCATCAGCCATTGTCTGGCATATTGCAGTTTTGTTCCATACTATCCCGATGGGATGTGTCGTTGCATCCACTATGGACCATTGTTGGTCCAGGTCTGAAATTATCTTTGTTCAGTAACTGTACAATAATTCACGTCCTTTATATGTTTATTTCGTCCAGGAAAGCCAACACGACTAAGCCATGCAAATCACGTACTCAATTATCATGATACAGTTACAACAATACAGTTCGTGTACTTTACAAACAAAAATTGGATTTCGTTTCCGGAGCACAACATGAAAATCGTGAAAATCGTGAAAGACTGTACATGCAAACCTGTTACATGTATAAACAAAGGACTGAAGTGGTGCTTTTTGCTATTTAGATATCTTTAGAATCTGTATTTTTCCCATTTCCATTGTAACAATTTGACTTTGACTCTGCTCATACTGGTGAGTACCTGACATAGAAATACAAAGTTCCGAATCCGAATTCCATGGTATGG